AAATCTAATGTTGCAGCTCTATAACTGTGGCATTCCCATCTAAAACCATCAGACTGAAAACGCCATGTTATCTAATTGTAGAAATATTCAAATGTTTTCATTCCTATTGATTCATAAAGAATTTGGACATTCCTTGACATATAGAGATAATGGGTACAAAAAAAGACACAGTTTTATTTCTTTGAAGTTATTTAAAATGGCTATGTTTAAGGCTACATTCTGTTTTTGTTTTTTTTATTTAATTCTTAAATTAAAAGTAAAGTTTATCCTAAATGATTTAACTTGAGACCAACATATTGGCTAAACCATTGTACAACTGTCTTCCTCCTCACCTTTAAATAAATATCACAAAACCATTTTGCCGACTTCATTCGGGCAAATGTTTTCACTTACGTCTGCTGCTCCAAGAGCAAAAGTGACCTAAAGAAGTTTCTAAGATGTGGCCAAGGAGGGAGATGGTTTCCTGCAAAATTACTTTTACCCCATTTTTTTTTTTTCACCTTTTGTCATTTGACAATCACAAAATGTATTTAATGGAGGTCTTAAGTGAGTGACCAAGCTGAGGTGGATGGAGAACATTTGTGGATGTCAGTTTTTAAGTTTTAACACAGATTCCCGAGTGGATTTAAGTCTGGGCTTAACTTAACCAGTCTGACATGTGAATATGCTTTGATGTAAACATGTGGGTTTTCAAACCCCGGGAGCCATTTGCAAGGCGTGTCATGAGTTGTGGCAAATTTTCTTTTCCGATCCCATGTAGACAAAAAGTGGGCCTCAGTGTACTTGTTTACTTTTTTCAGAGCCACATTTGGATGCATTTGTGGACTGCTGTCAGCTGCAAGCTTTCTTGAAACTTTAGGTGTAATTATGCATCAGTAGGCATAATACAAACTATCAACTAACTAATCATTTAGTGATCAAATAAAAAACAAAAAAGAGAAACTGATATTTACGTATAAAACACAAATAATAATGAAAGGCATTTATTAAATAAACTATGCGATCTCCATATTTAGCATGAAAGTTGTGAGACTGAATAAAATATTTGAAACATAGAATCAATTCATTCATCATGTATTCCAAGTACTTTTTTGTACAATTCAACAGAAACGGTATGTCGCTGTATTCTAAGGTTGAGACACTTTTTTGAAAAATAGTCACTCTGTCATGTTTTGTTTGTGGTTGATTGTAAGCACACATACAGAACAGCAGAAGTGTGGAAGTGATGTTGAAACTATTAAATGAAGCGATGAGGAACAAAAAACAAAAACATCAAACTTACAAATCTACAGGAGGCCCCGGGTAGAAAAAGAATCATAAATCCGAAGAAATAACAGGAGGACTCAAGGGGCTAAGAGCCGAACAGGAAGTAACTGAAGGAACCAACAAGGAGTGACTGAGAAAGAGGTGAATAAGTACTGCAGGTAGAGTGCTTGAACAAAGAGCTGAACTGTTTGACTAATAGGTTGCAGGTGTGAGGGGAGAGACCAGACAGCAGAAAGAGGAGAGCGAGGAGAGAGAGAGGGAGAGAGAAACATGGCACAAGGGGTGAGGGAGAGTACACTGGGGAACAGGAAATAAATTTAGCACGAAAGAATAACGATACTGAATAAACAATCTAGAGGGACTAAGAATAACTAGAACAAATAAACATAACTAGAAACACTAAGAAGGACTGAACTAACGAAGAGCCGAAACAAGATTAATCTAATCAAAAAATAGACTAGGGAACACAAAATGATGTAATAAATCAAATTCCAAAACAACTGAACAAACCGGGATCCAATTCAACTCAACAATGTATTTTAAGTTGCATCCCTTTTTTTATTTTATGGAGGGTAACAGTAATACAATCTGCCCAATTTCTAATTAGCGTCAATTCTCACTACTTCCTGTTTATTGCAGCAAATTATCTCCATAGTGAGAGTGTCTTCAGGTGCTTAGTATATTCAGTTGTTTGATAAATCCTGTAGTCTGTGATCCCTGCACAGTTTTAGGTGGTTGATCTTCAATCTTTTAGCCATGTTAGTGTGAACTCCAAGTCTTTTCAAAATCTGTGAAGACAGTTTTAAGGCATGTGGAGTATCTATGGGGTTAAAGTAGTACGTAATAGGATCACCAAGCACCCACGCGGTGCTGAGTGATTGACATAACCACACCCTAATATTTTCAGCAGCGTCAGGGTGTGTCTTCTCGTCATGCAGTAGAAAAACCTGCACATACAAATGCATAAAAACAAAAGATAACAGAAAAAAAAAGATAAATGCCAGGTAACTTCAGCTGTAGCAGCAGGTGCTCCTTTCCTAAAATAGCCCTTATTAACTAACCATTTGGCTCATAACAAAAACTCTTCCTCTGGTTTTTGTGATGAATTTTGTTCCGTAATTTTCTCTAATGTACCTCAGTTGCCGTTACAGGTTTGTTTACGCTGAAATTAATTTGCACACATCTGGACTGTGTTTTCATTATTAGGAGAAAGTTGAATGAGTTGGATTTTATTTGTGATTTATTTGGATAAACGGGACCAAATGACATGCGAACGCCTACTGCTCTTTTTAGATCTTGAACAATCATCTTTAATCTGAAATTTAGTTTTCTTCTTCAGTGTTTAATTGGCCACTTAGGGAACACAAAATGGTTTGATGTAAGTAAAAAAATAAATAGATTGCACCCAAAGAAGGAACATTCTCACTAACTCAGCAAGAAAAATATGCTGACAAATAAGCTTCAGGCCAACTGATTAAATGGTTGAATAAATTACTATTTTGATTTTCAGGACAAGCAGTTCTTCCACTTGTCTGTTCGACGCGTGTGTGAACAGGTGGAAGAACAATCAACAGAACACATTGGAGCTTCTGGAGCTGACGCGGCTCTGGGCCGACACGGAAAGTTCTGTGCAGAAAGTTTTAGAGCGTCTCAAAGCCAAACGGGGCGACGTCTTCTTAGACCACGTGGTGAACAGCAAGTTTCTAGCCTTTCACAAAGACATCACGGATGAATATGGCACAGAAGACAAGCAGCACTCGTGGGCAGTCATCGAAAAACAGGAAGAGGTCGTCATGTATGGGCCTTATTATCCTAACTACAACAGCGGAGAACACAGCGAGGACGTCATCATCACACAAACTCAAGAGCTTCTGGAGGCAGAGGACTTTCCTCAAGGCTGGACAGTGTATATTTTCACCATGAACAGTCCATGTTTGGCAAGAAATTCGGACCCATGCATGCTAAACCTCGTCCGAAGGGCCCAGGGCTGGTGGAGCATGTTTGCAGTAAAGACTTATATTGGCTATGTGAGAAGTTGGGGCTTTAAAGGAAACAAAGAAAATGCTTTTAAGGAAGTCAGTTACAGACAAGTGGAAATTATTACTCAAACTGTGGACTATGGGAGCTACGTCAAATCAGTTGATAAGATCGATGATCTCAGTCCTTTGTGTGAAACTGTGTTTTTTGTTGCTAAGGACTTACTGAAAGGTGAGAAGCTCAACTTCCCTTTGGTAACCACAGAAGAAAAACAGGAACAGAAGAGTTACTTCAAAAATATGAACAGTATTCTTGAGTCCAAACAGGAAGAGGAGAAAAAACTCCTCATAAAGGAGCTGAATGCACTTGCAGAAGCAGCGGATCCCTTGCTTTTAGGTGAAAGTCAAGGCTTAGAGGAGCATTTGGAGAAAGGAAAAGTGTTTTCACTCAGTTACACTTTCAGCTCAGAGGTATGTGAAGGCCTCCAGGAAGAAATGAGAGTCAGGTTTCAACAGTGCTGGAGGGAGACAGTACAGGACAGGTGTGCGGAGTTTGTCAGGGAAAAGCTGACTGATGAGTTCAATCAGCTCACTGTTCGGCTTTTTGTCGAGGACATTCACAGGCTTACACAAGCATATTTGCAAATTGGAAAATTGAAGTTTTAAGCTTCAAATGATCCTTAGTAAAACTGAGGGTTTGGAAAGATTATGGGAATAGTAGCGTGAGGAATCCCCTGTCATGCATTGAAAACTATCAAAAATCTCGTCCGTCGCTTATATTACGCCAAAATGCTTTCTCTTTATTACATTTGCGTACAGTATATCACAAATAACAGAGTACATGATTATAGTGGAGTGATGTTTTTACAGAAGCTTGTACATTTCTCATTCTTGTAATTACATATGATAGTGTCCCACATTTACACCAGTTGTCTCTCGTTAGCAGCCGATTAGAAAGCATTGCAAATATTCTCTACGGTTTTACCCATTGATAACCATATTACATAGGACGTGAATTTTAATGTAGATTCCCACAAACATTTCAAAGGCCCCGTGTGCTACTGGCTAGAAGATACAGATCTGATCCTAAGCCAGCAGAGGGCGCTGTGTGCCTGCTGTCACGCTCATTCAGAATAATGAGCATTGACACTGGTTAAGTAGTTTGTCTTTGTAACTTTTTCAGATGTGACGTCCAATTGAGGAATAACAGCCAATGAGCCACGACGGAGGAGTTGTTGTTGCACTAAACTGTAGATCACTTTCGCTGAGGTAATACTTAGGGTGAGGAGTGACGGATGAGACAAACTAGGAGGAATTTACAGGAATAGTTTGTATTCATTTATTTTGCCTCGTTGTTTTGCTGAGTGTTTCACAATTTCTAACTGATTTTTTTTTTTTTTTTCCTTTTAAAAGACTTTTAGGTCTTCTTGGATGCTGTGCATCTTAGAGGATTTTTGCTGTTACTTCTTTACTTGCAAACAATTGTTATGATGCATAGCTGTAGCTACCGTTTTCCTGATGAGCCAGGGTTCGTCCTCTGTTGAAAAGACTTAAAAACTGTGAAGTTTGCTTTTATAATTTCCAAAGTCTGGCTGTGAAATCAAATAGAGTAAGGAATACATTTGTTTTTTCAGACTTTTTTTTTCTTGCTTCATACTCTAAAGAATAAAAATCTGTTAATGCTTAACAAATGCAATTTATTTCAGTTATTTATATTTGAACGATGTATTTTTACTTTGATTTATCACCTCTGAACTTGAATTTAACATTTTATCCATGTCTGAACGTACACTTTTTCAAACATTTAAAGACATATTTTACAACTTTTTTGTTGGATTCAAAACAACTTCTGGTTTATTGAAATTGTTACTGTGTGTCCGAAGGAATATTCTTAGTCTTATCCGAGACTCCTTGCAAATCTAAGAATTACTTATTCTTGGATTTTCGTGAGTGAAGCTGTGAAACGTCCCTATTGCACACTCTGAAAAAGTTGACTTTAACATCTTTTTTGTTTTATTTATAGAATCTAAAGGAAACATGACCTTTAGAGACAAATGCCAACTGTAAAAGTTGCTACCCTTTTTATCAGTTAAAACAATTTCAGGCTATCTCTATGATGGTTGAGGTTAATGATCTGTCCAAGTCTTTATGTTTTCTTTTTTTTTTCTTTTTTTTCTTGTATGTAAAATCTTAAATCCTTTCACGTCATCTGCTGCTAATACAACATTATAGTAATTTATCATGAGCACAGTCTCCCAGATGGATCATTTGAAAGTTTGCCAGGAATTAAATATTTTTTTTTTCTATTTTCCTGTAAACTTACCCTGATAACACTTGGTGTAGCACCTCTGTGGTGTAACCTTTGTCACAAAGTTGTATACTTATGATCTGTTTTTTCTGTTTTGGATGTCCATAACATCCAGAGAAAAATGTCCAAAGCTATGAAGGCAATACTTACACTTAAGTCTTTCATGTTTCTCATAACTCTCATGTACTGTTTCAGTATCTTTAAGGCAGCTTGTGCTTCCATACTGGCTTTGTAGGAAAAGATTTGAGTTCGAAAAATGTTCCTTTATAATCCCAGTTTGACTGTACTTTGTCCCAAGTCGGTGTCTTCTCATCGTGTCTTGGTGTGTAGTCATGACACTAATGCCACCGACTGGAGAAAACGGTGCAGCTATCAGTTCCTGGAGAGTTTTGTTAGGATGCTGTACATAGGTAGTTTTTTTTTGTTTGTTTGTTTTTTTTTGGGATGCAGAGAGCTGTAGGTCTCCTAAGCCATGATTAGGTTGTTCCAAGGCTCTGTTTTGGAGCTGGAGGACCCACCGTGTCCACCTGGAGACATCTTCAGAGGAATGGCGCCTCCCTGGGCTGCCATGTAAGCAGGTAGAGCTGAAATCTGAGGAGAAACGTACAAATGGTGAGAAACATTTGATAGATTGAGAATCATATCAGAGTCTGCTTGGCAGTGTTGTCTCTCTCTGGTCAAAAGCTGTAGTCACGTAGTTGTCAAAGTGGCTTACTTGTGTGTGCGGGCCGTGGTGTGTGTACAAGTTGTGATTTTCTGGCTCTGTCTTTATCTGGCGAGGCTCCACTGCGGTGCTGGAGGTGGATGTTGTGGAGGAAGAGGAGGAAGAGGAGGAGCGGGGAGTGATGCTTGGAGTAACTGGAGCCCCCTCGGTGCCTGGAGGTCATACAGAGTCCAGTAGAACAGTGAATGTGATTCGTATCTACAACTGCTTGCTCTTGAGTTTCTCACTTTGTGAAATCAAAACCAGGCTAAAATGTTACCATTTTAGATCAGTGAGGATGATCTAAACAGTGATTTCTGTTTGCTAAATGTAACAAGAATGATATATTATTTAAAGAACTATTTAGTTATTTCTTCTAGTTAGAAATCATTGAGATTACTGTGCCTTAAATAAGCCCAGGTAATGATGTGATGCCTTCACAAGCTTCTGATAGGTTCGTTGACAACATTTAAAGGAGCGGCATTTTGTATTTTCCAGGCACACAGTGACATTTTATAGCACAATCAGGTTCCAGTTGTTATAAAAATGCTTTATATATATCAAACATAACAAACGAATTTGGACTTTAAAATTTGATGCCTTGAAATTTGCCTCTGTCTCTTTACGAAACTACCTTTAGCACATCATCACAACAGGGCTACGCCATTATGCCGTTTATCACCGTTCTTAGGAGCTGAACTGAACTGAACTGAAAAGTGTTTTTGTATGATGAGTTCAGCAGAAATGCAGTTGCACCAGGTATTTGCTGATTGCTGCTGGCTAGTCTGGAGGACTCTCCAGGAACTGCTGGCTTCACCGTTTCCTCCAATCGGTGGCATCGGTCTTATAACTGCACATCAAGACACTATGAGAAGAGACCAGCTTGGGACAATGTACAGAAAAAATCTGGTAATCCTAACTGACGACCTAAAACAAAAATTTAGTCTGGTTCAAATTTAGAAAAATGCCTGTGTGTCTTATTACACAGGCCTAATTAACATCTGGTGTAAACGGTATAACCTTGAAAAAGTACTGTGATCTCGGACAGGATATAGCAGCTCGTTAGTTTATTTTTGGTGAAGTCTCATATCAGTCCTTGTGCCTGGGAAGCTAACCTGTTTGGGTCTTGTTTAGGTTCTTAGGTTTGCGTTTACGGGTCTGGATCCCCTCTTTCTTCATAGCAAGAGGCCGGGGGACCTGAAGAGACGAGAAGAGACAAAATGAATTTATCTACGCAGAGCATTCTTGCAAATCCTTAAAATAATTTGTAGATTTTACATACAGTGTCTGGCAATGGTATTCTTACCCAGTGAACCAATATTTTGTCACTTTACTCCACAAACATCAGTTATTGTGGAGACATTTTATCTGACTAAGCAACATAAAGTCAACCCTCTTGAGTAAAGAACCATCTTTCATTGTGGACACAAATGTGGATACAAACCATCAAGTTTTTGACAGTATGTCTTAACCAGCTTCCCACAATTGCACATCAAAACCGTAAAATATTTTCTCTTTGTTCAATGCAAAGAAGTTCAAGCTCAGAAAAAAATTCTAAAGACAAGTATCCCCAGAGCATGATCTGATCCCACCATGTTTCACCATGGGAATGGTTATGACCAGAGTAATGAGCAGTTTTCCATTGCTCACAGTGTTTTTACCTTAAGGCCAAAAAAAAAACTGATAAGAACTCTTCTTCCGTATGTTTGTTTTTCTACTTAATAGTCAGTTGGCTTGTAGACATAGTTGGCTGCAATAGAATTTAATATCAATGTAAACAGGGTTGAAAACAAACCAGACTTTTAAAAGTATTATGGGTGAAACAGTTTGAAAAGCATTTTCCATCCACTTCAAAATCATGCACCACTTTCTGTTGGTCTGTCCTATAAAATCCACACAAAATACCTTTCAGCAGCAGAACGGTTGTAAAGTGACAAAGTGTGAAAAAGCATGGCAATGAGAGGCATTATGTTTTGTTTTTGTTTTTGTTTTTTTTGTTTTTTTTTCCCCCCATTATTATTATCGATGTGCTCCTCTTACCCCGTGGAGTTTCATGTAGAGCCCACAGGCGTTGCAGACGGGTTCTCCCTCTGCGTTTCGTCGCCACAGGGTGGTGGTGGTGGTATGACAGTTCGTGCAGGACAGGCCCACCCTCCTCGAGGCAGACTGCAACAGGCAAAACGCGTCACTCATCAAACAAAGATAAAGAGGGAAAATGAGCGAGGAGACGAAGGTGAAGAACGTTCATTCGGTGATCACCCACCAGCCGTCTCTGGGGTTTAATGAGCGGCCTGTTGATGCCGTTCATCTTGTGGTACAGGCCGCATGCGTTGCACAGGTAGTGGCCGGTGCCATCGCGCCTCCAGAGGGGAGTTGACATTGCACCGCAGTTCACACATTCTCGTCCCTCAGCAAAGTCATCAAACAAATCTGAAGGGATGTTAAAAAGATAATGTGAGTTGGAAAGGTCGTTTTTTGGAGGGCGGCGGGGGGCGGGGCGGGGGGAAGGGAGGTATTGCAGTGGCATACATAAACCAGTAGGAGGCATCTCTATGCCCCCCCACATAGCAGCAGCCTGAATGGAATCCCTCCTTATCACAGCTCCCCTTAAGATAAAAACCTGGCTGGAAATAGAGATGGTATATAGAGCTCCATCAAATTCAAATGTCCATCACATCTCCTTCTCCCTGGGCCTCTCAGATAGCCAAACATCTGATAAATGTAATCTCCACCCTCTCATTTGCCAAATAACAGAGTGTCTCCCAGGAACCACTTAGCCATTTAAAAAAAGGAGACATCAATTTGCAGAGCGGAGGAGACAGCTTGGATTTTCTCTCCTCACATCGCCTTCGTACCACCATCAAGAACACTTTGATGTGTTGCAGAAATTAGCACGACAGTGAATTTTAAACCACATTTAAACCACTACAAAAAGACTTTTTAACTGCACACTTCAAGGTGCATTATTGCCCCTCCTTCAGATAGCATAAATCAGGCCTGTATCTATCCCTCCCTCCTCTGGCTGTGCAGCAGAGCTTGTACGAGGGGCCTCCTCAAGGCTGAGAGCCAAAGCATAGCCGGCAGGGCGAGTTAACCTTGGGCTATAGGCAGCACATGTAGCCAACACAACAGTGTGAAAACAGAACAATGCACAGCAGAAATCCTCTATCTGGATGGATGCCTTTTTGTATTTGATAGCGTGCGTGTCAGAGAGCGTCTTTATCAGGTCTCAGCTTAAAAACATCCACACAAACACTTCAGGAGGCCAAAGGTGAAAGTGGAAATAAACAGCTACACAGAGTGTTACATAGTAGAAGTTACTGCCATACAGACAAATTACTGAGTGTGAGTTTCATTAAAAGTTCTGATAATTTCACTCTGATAAATCTTAGACTGGAAATAAATGAAGCTAATTATAAATTGGGGGGAAAAAAAGACCTCAAATATTTTTACTAGGTATGCAGCCAACATTTTTTTTTAGTTAATATTTAAACAGAAAAATCAACTTTCTTATGTTGAATTATACATTACGAGAGTTACATTTAGTTCTGAGAAGCTTCTCCTTCAATTTTAAAACGTCGTTTTATATATATTTTTCAAGAAAGAATAAAAACAACTCTGAACAACCAGAATGGGTGATTTTAATAATTTCTTATCTTGTGCTTCAGCAATTAAAATATACAGTAAAACACACAATATTTTTCAATAATACAACCCAAGTCTTTAGGTGTTATGCAGAGTAAATATTTCTAACACTGTTTACAGATTAACATAATAATAATAGTAACAATAAAAATAATATTGCCATTAATACATCATAGGAAGAAGTTGTTAGTCTTGTCTCTTTCTATTATTTTACTTTCATATAAATGTAAATAATTGGACATAATCAATATGTGAAGATTGCTTGTTATAATTTATTTATTATGTAATTTGATTTGCTTTATTTTCATTTTAACTTGGATGAAATACAAAGAAACAATGAATAACAACACCACATGTTTTTTTCCCCCTATTTTTTTCTTTTTAGATATATTTTAAGAATAATACAGAGCATCTATATTGTATCTTTTTACACTCTCAACTAAATCTCATTTGAGGATGACATAGTTTTGATATTAAAATTAGTTGGGGGTTTTTTATAATAATGTCCTAAATAATGTCTGTGTTACGTGTTTCTGAAACAAAAACACATTGGAAGCAATTTTCAGACAAAATATTTAAAGATTCCTTTGAAAAACAATTATTTAGTGCTTTTAATATGAAAGGTGCTTTATCTCTTTTACATCAAGTTATATACGTTATTTCAGTATTTAAAGGAACAGAGAAATAACATACATTGTTCCATGCAAAGGTCACTGAATTCATTTACTTCCATGTTTACCCAACAGATAGACTTTTTTCTGTTTCTTTTCTCCCCTGGACAGCAAGCTTCCTACTGAATGCTTTTCATTCAGCCTGAGATTTGATGTCATTTGTTGTGACTGAAACATCAGTGTGTGCCTGGTGGGGGGGAGGGAACCTGCAAAGAAAAAAATATTGCCTTTTTTTATTATTTTTATTTATTTTTCAATTTTTTTTTTATGAGTGTGAGTGTAGTGAATGGATCAATGTAATAATCTCTCCTACTGTTACACAGCTGAGCTTTTTCTCTTTAAGGGGGCGGTCTTGTAGATGGAAACTTAAATAATCCCAAGTCACTTGCTTAATCACTAACAGACAATATAGAGCAAATACGATCCAGAAAAGGAATGATGTGATCAGGAGCTGCAGTGGATCAGAATATTAGCAGATGCTTTAAAGAGTTACTCAGTGCCGCCAATGAGGTTTTGAGTTAGCCAACACTGAGCTGGAACTGAAACAAAACAGCAGTAAAACAGAAACATGGGAATAATTTGCCCCCTTATTATAACACAACGGTGGGAAAAAAAAAAACGAAGTGTAAAGAAGATCAGATATTAAAACCTGGCAACACCAATTGAACAGTGTTATCTCTGTCGTACAGCACACTCCACATGCTCACCCAGCGCAAAATAGGAAATAAAACGCTTTATTTCGAACATTCCTTAAAGTTTAAAATAAAAGTTTACATAAAAATATTAGTTGTATTTTCATGTCTATTCTCTTCACTTTCTAATCGGCCTGATGTGATCTGAAATGTCACATCAAATAAAATCCACAAACCCTATAAACTCCATAAGCAGCGACTTGTCAGCCTCGTTTAATGTTGCTTTTTAAAAAGATTCCGAGAATTAAGTTTAATAAACCATTCAGGTGCAAGCCTTTGCTCTGCAAAAAAAAAAAAAAAAGTTTAATATTCAGAGCTATTTTTCAAAATCATGTCCAGTATTTTTAATGCGTGGAAAAAAAAAAACTTATCTGCACAACAAATATATTTAAATCACGCATTAAAATGCTAATTTTGCTGCACAATCCCCGTATCGTTTTTATCTTGTCATTTTTTCATTGCAAGTGTCTTTGCTCAATTGATTTTCTTTCCAACTCTTTTTTTTTCAATTACAGCCACCATCATGTGTTGTATTACATTTTATATTAATCAGTCAGTCATTTTTTTTTTCATAGCAATAACTGGACGGTAGTATCTCATTGCTTCCTTTATGAAAAATATGTCTGCATAAAAGTCAATAATCAAAACAGATTTTAATTTCTAACAGTTTTTTCTGTTTTGTTTAGTTTTAAATATTGTTCTTTAACTAATTTATACGAAAAGTCCATATTTATATGTGGGAATAAAAGAAACTTTTTATAAAACGTATAGATTTAAAGTAATTTTTAACCATAAATTATATTTTATTTTTAAATTGATAGTATTTCCTATGAGACACAAATGTGCAAAATATATTTTAATTAAAACGTTATTATTTTTGGGGGGGGTAGCAGGGTTGTTTGTTTGNTTTATTTATTTATTTATTTATTTATTTTTCACATTAAAAAACCCTTAAAAACATCAACATTCAAAATATGTCCATACAATTTTTTATTATTTAAATATATTGGTATAGTATTTTTCTGGTGCTCACCTATGTTTGGGTGCCGCGTCGTGCCAGGAGAAGCGCCGGTCTGTAGACCGTGCAGCACCGGACTGTCGAAGGGGGACGCCGGCCACGTTCCTCCGACGTTAGGGCTCATGTAGGCCGAATAGGGACTGGGGTACGAGCCGCCGAGGCCCCGCGGACCATAGTGCTCCCTTCCGTTGGCAGAGATGTTCAGCGGGCTGGTGTAAGAGACCGCCTCCCTGGCCGTGGCCACACCGGACGATAGCGGCGGACTGGTGGAGAAGGAGAAGCGCGGAGACACCGGGGAGTGGTTGTAGGAGGGCACCGGGTCTGCACCCGGCTGCGCCCAGACGGAGTGGCTCGAAACCGGGCTGCCCTGCTGCGAAGCGCCGGGCGTCTGGAGGTACGGCAGCGCGGAGATCATCGGGGTGACGACCCGGGTGGTGGGCACGTAAACCGGAGACGTGGCCGCCGAGGCGTTGTGGAGAAAACCGGCCTCATAGGAAGAGGATCCGTGGTTGGAAGTCATAATGCCCTGGTACATGTCCCCACCTGGAGCTGGTCATCCGTGGAGGTAAATCTGGAGAAGCCTGCAAATCACCGCAAGGCTCGCTATCTGTCTTTATTAACGCCCCTGTCCTGGTTCAGATCTGATCTGCTGAGGTCCAGCGGAGCGACCGCATTATTGAGAAAATTAAAATCTGTCTGAAGGCAGGAAGACGATAGGCTGCATGAGAGAGGAGGAGGAGGTGGAGGAAGAGACTATCCAAGTAAATCAAGATCCAGCTGTTATCTGCCCCCTCTCTGTCTCTCTCTCTCTCTCTCTCTTTTTCTCTCTTTCTCACTCAAACACATACTTTATGCCAAATTATGCTCATTCATGCCACATTTTTTTCCCTTATTACGCGGAAATGATATCCCTCTATTATTTATTTATTTATTTATTTATTTATTTATTTATTTATTTTGTCGTTCTTTGATTATTATTTTTGTATATTTGTTTGTTTTTGTTTTGTTTTTGTTTTTTTACTTGAAATATTTTGAGCAAAAAGTAACGGAGTAAATATTTGTGGGGATCAGAAAAAGATGAACAAATGTTTTTGTTTTTAAACTATGACTAACATTTTTTAATCTTACTTGTGACCGAAGCATCAGTAAAGTTTGGATTTTCTGCGATTTTGCGCGGATGTAATTTTTATTTTTATTTATTTATTTTTATTTTTTTTTTTTTTTTGATCAGCAATAAGATCGGCGGGATTTTTGTGTTTGTTGTATAAATAGATAATATAACATAACATAATGGGGGATTATATCTTTCTTCGATTTTCAAAATTCTGAAACTGATCTAAATCTTTCGTTCGTTACAGACTTATTTGACATTGAGCTCATCTTTTTGTCCGAAAAATTGACATATTTTCGACTACCCTTTAGAAGTTATTGAAGTCAGTAATGTTGTACGTTGAAATTTGTAACGCGTTATTACAGAGTTAAATAAGGGATTAATGCCGTAATCGCATGTCTTCAAAACTATTATTCACTCAAAGACTAAAATTCCCAAACCCAATGACTGCTATATTAATAATTTATATTTTGCAAAATAAACAGACATTATCAGTAATCCAGTCGATTTAAACCTTTAATTTTGCTTGGAAGTGACAGATTTTGAGAGAGGCCAAAATCTGCCTCCGTGGAAAGTGTCCGGCGGCGGCTGCTGCCCTTATGAGGACAGATTTATACCTGTCATCGACACCAGAGAACGTAAACACACGGGGCCATTTCATTGTGCGGCCACTTCCCGCTGACAGCCTCATACTGAGTTATGGAGCCGCTACGGAGGCCTGTAGAGTCCCGCATGGTGTTTCTCTTACAGCGTGTGCGTTAGACTGAATGGAATAACGCCAGAAAACATGGGGGCGTGGAGGGGGTGGCACACACCAATTAATGCTCCGCGTCGTTGAAAAACACTTAAGACTGTTTAAAGAGTGGTGAAAGCATCGCAGTAAAAGTAAAAGTCCTGCTTTCATTAAAGTGTAATTATTAAAATTTTAGAATAAACAAAGACGCTGTGAATAAAGTTGAAGAATCTATCTATCTATCTATCTATCTATCTATCTATCTATCTATCTATCTATCTATCTATCTATCTATCTATCTATCTATCTAAACTATGAATATCAGTCCATATGTATTTCATTATTGATTCAATCAATCCTCCCTTTCCAGTAGGAGCAAAAGGCGAACAGGGCAATATTGCCTCCTTGGAAATGGGGAACTGCCATCAATGTGTAACTGCAGGCTGATAACGCGAGCACCAATTGCTGACTAATAATATCAAGGTGTGGCTCAGTGTGTGGCCTCAGACGGCACAAAGTGGCATCAAAGTCACGGGTTATTCTGATTTTATGGCCCCAATCCAGTTAATGTACAGAGGTTTGCTCACGCTCTCCAGGGAGAGCTGAAGTTTTCTGCAGTTTTATATCTGTGCTGGGTGGATTGTTACTGTCCGGACTGCTGCAGTGCAAGGTGAAAGGTTCACAAAAACAGTCTGAAATCAAGCATCCTCTCTCCCCTGTTGTTGTACTGTAAAATGTATGTTTTGGTTCGTGTGGCGTTGCACATGCCAGACTGCAGTGCTGACAGTGACAGAGGCCAGAGCTTATTTGAAATGTGTGCGTGTTCATGTGTGCGCTTCAAACGATGATTCAGTGCTCAGTGTGTGTTTGCTGTCAGTGTGTATGAATGAGGAGGTGTCGGGTGAGGGACTAGATAGAGATGCTGGTATGTGCGGCACACCGCTGCCGTGAGGAAGGTGTGTGTCCGTGTGTGTGCGTGTGCATGTGTGTGTTTGAGCCAGGCACCAGGAAAACTGTCCCCGTCCTGGCTGGGGGCAAAGACTCAATCACTCGGGGTCAGTGACTTACTTTGGCCCTTCTTCCTTACACACAGACGCTCACAAAAACACACACACACACACACACTCTCAAGGAGAAAGAGGCCTGTAGACTCCTGGCTCCAGGAAGAACACTTCAAATGGAAAAGCAGGAAAACCCAGGAAGAGCAACGATATGAGGCCAGTGAAAAACACACACACACGCACACACACACACACGTCACTCCGTTGTATTCGAGGTGTTCCTCACTGGCATTTTCCTTTGCAAAGTAAGCAGAAAATCTGAGTTCTTTCTGCTAAAGGCCTTTCATCTTTTCTGCATCTGTTCCTGCTGATGTCACCTGTTTGTCTTGTTACAGCAGACCGGGCTGATGTTCCCTCATGTGACAAAAGAGTGAAAATCAATTCAAACACAGCTCACATGTCTGCTTTTGCAGTTTTGTTGCTCAGAATACTCTCTCAAGTTTGACTGTTTGCAGGTTTAGGAATATATCTGAAAGTCAACCCACGATTAATTATCGTAGTAAGCAAAACACTGAAGTGTAGAATACGCTAACCAGTCAAAATGAAATCAGTTGTTTATATAACGTCGACTCACAAATAATGTTATCAGAAGGTTTTTTTTTTTTTTACAAGGCAAACAAATCCAGTTTCTACACAGAAAAATATAGTCAATTCAGTGTGACAGATTTAATGTCAGTTGCATGCATTCCAGTTATGCTCATAAAGCAATGCATTCAAATTCAGTCAACAACTATGTGTTAGTTGATAAAAAAAAAAAAATGCTTTGGCATTTTTTTATTTGCATTTTGCAAATAAAGTGTGTCAGTGGGACCATGAGTTCTGCTGATTAGGCTTGTAATGTATGTTAATCATTTTGAAAATGTGAAGTTTGAGTTGACAACTGCATGAATGCAATCAAGAAAAACTCTGTACATTTCCATTAGATTGTTTTTTTTCTTAATCTGTCTCGAAACGGTGAATTCCGAGTTTCTCTAGTGATGGTAAATGTGTCTAGCATTAGATCAACCAATGATCAACCAGTATTCAGAAATCAACTTACAAGTGTAAACAGGCAAAGCACATCACAATGTTACCTTTTCCCACAATGGAAGGACAAGGATTCGGAGAGTGTGCGGCTTTTCTTAAGGAGATTGTCCTATGTTCCCATTTCTACTTTTGACTTTATTTTCTTTGAGATATGCAGTGCTGTCTTTTCCTTTCTGTATCACAATAAAATGGTCTGTCAACAAATTACAGTAAAAGAGTAAGTATAATTTTGTCTAGTGTCTTGCCATAAATGCAATTTGCAATTCTTTAGACATAGTTTACAACAAAATATCCATCCAGAGTGCAGTTGTATTGACAACATGAGTATGTAGTTTGACTGTCTTTTCCATACACAATTAATCAAGAACCTGTCACACTGAAGCACTGACATGTTCATCAGGTAAGATATCTACTTTTGAGAGATGAACTAAGGATTTTCAAAAAGAGACTGGCTTTTTGTGGGTAATCCACGGCGTTTTGCTGTTTGTACGATTCGTTCTGAGAAATACACTTTCTGTTTTGCAAATGTAAAGGATGATTTGAGAAATGCACTGAAGCAACTGAGAAAAATAAACCGTCAGCAGAACCTGGCTCGGCGGTAGCAGCCGTCTTCCCCAACACTCCTTTAGGTAGTTGAGAAAACATAGAATGCACACAAAAGTGTACGAAAGTGTGAATATATTTGTTAGTTAGCATAGCCTGCTTAAAGTCTAGAGCTCAATCCAACTGTGTAAAAAGCTATCGATAGCTTTGCATGGCCCTCTGTTCAGTAATGCATATGGTGTTATTCATCTTTCTTCTTTAAACAAACAAAGTCAATTTGTACTCAACTCTCCATGTGACACAAAATCAAGGCTTTTTGATTTCACATTATTCATTCTGAACTTTTTTTACATTTACTTTTGATAAGGTTGTTGGGTCTGGACCTGTGTGTTATTTTAAAGGATCTTGTGGATTAGGGTGTGTTTGTGTAACTAAGGTTACACAGAGTCACACAGACACTGGTTTTCTCAGAGAGACCTGGACATCAGCAAGACGATCATCTCTTTTTCATACACACACACACACACACGCACACATGCACACGCGCACACATGCAAACACACATTCACACACACTATTAACCAGAGGTGTATTTTTGAACAAATTATTAACTCCTCAGGTAATTGATCTCTCATCAATTACCGAAGAGCTGATTTGGACTCTATTTACATAATTTAAAGAACAAAACAAATACAAATACATCGAGCAGCATTCAACTACGGGTGATAAAAATCAAATAATCAACTAATCAAAAACACTGTTGATTTCATCAAGCAAAAGATATCAACAAAAGATTGATTTCTAGGTAAGGAGAAAGTTTGAGCTCCCCTACAGTGGCTAGTGCTACCAAGGCCAGCTGCGGGTCACTCAGATTGGTTTGAGATCGATGTCATCTGTGGCATGTTTGAGGGGTTTCTGGTTTCAGGTGGCCCCACTTCATCGACATTTGGGTTTTGACTGGGCCCAGGACTTCCCATTTCTTAATTCTCAGCTAAAATATGATCGGCATACAGGTATATTTACTGTCATTGTCTGTCTTCTTCTTTTTTTTTTTTCTTTTCTTTTTTTTTTACAGATGGTATAGCATTTTCCTGCTACAGCAAATATTCCCAAACCCTTGTCTATGTTTGCTGGTGTTCTCCTTGCACATCCCCGATGAAAGCCAAGCTTCTCTGGTCTCATCTTGATTGCACAGGCATGGACTTTCATATCAACAACCGAAAAGACCTGCTGTATTGCGACATTTTAAGCTCTTTGGAGACTTCTTTCAACAACTTCTGCTCTGATTTCAGGGTGAGCTTACTTGGCTCAGGGGTATAATACATTTTTTTATGTCCTGCATTGGAAGACTATTTTTCAGGCAGTGATGTGGCTGATTTCAAATTCTTTAGAGACCTCTTTAAATATGTACCAGACTTATACGCCGCCACAATCGTCTTTCTGAAGGCCCCAGACAGCTATTTTGTTCTCTCTTTCGTTTCAACATTAAGGAGCAGACCAATCTCGAGCAATCTTGCTCTTTGAAATTGCTGAATCACTGGGTTTTAATCATGTGCTGACTTGATCTACCGGTGTGTGATTTTAACAAAAGAATAAAAATAGGGGTGTCCAAGTTAATTCCTACCCAGAAATTGGTTTCTGTTTTATTACCAAAAAATGTTCGCATTTCCATCAGCTTTTATGATCTCGTATTATTTCCTAATACGACAGAAAAGCTAAACAAAACAAATGCTCATGTGAGTCTATTTTTTCCTTTTAAGATCCCGGAAATGAAAGGTCCTCTGGAAGTTTTGTGAATGATTCTCTGCTATCGATGGTTTAACATGTGCCTCAACAGTATCATAAGTGCCAGTTTTAAATCTCATGCCCCGTGACACTAAGTGTATGAGTGCAAGCAATAGCAAGAGTATTTTTAGCAGTGCGGACCAAGGGATCCCGGGACCTCTCCCTGTGATAAGCCGTGACCAAAGTCCGCTGGCTAGAGAAGGCCGAAAGAGCAAATAGGGAACGCACACACACATACGGAGTGTTTAATAAACGCATACATGGGACTTAGCCGCAGTGTGATGTGGCAGGCAAAGGTAAGGCTGCTTGTTTGTACGCGAGGGGCAAATTAGGGGCAAGATCCAGGTTAGGTAAAGGTGAAGTGATGTCATCAAAAACAATGGGTTCTGGAGGTGATGAGGAGTTCAGGCAGAGTTCATGCAAAGGTGGTCTGAGAAGCTTCTTCTGGGGGGGAACTTCAACGAGATGCTCCGAAAGGTGGAGATGGTCGAAAACCCGTCCCGTTTCTGTCAGTCAAAAAGTAGGAAAAAACAAAAAAACACTCCGAGGAAGCAGGAGGGAGGAGAAATGGTGCCTTCAACTGCACCCAAGTCTGATAACAGCTGGAATCTTTTTGTTTGGACAGAGAGAGGAGGGATGATGTGTGAGAGGAGTTTAATAAATTGAGTAAGAAAAAAAAAAATGAAGTTGAAAGTGGATCAAGAAACAGAGAAGAAACGCTGAGAAGAAGGATGCCACCAGACAGGAGGAGCAGTGGAAAACAAAAGAGGCTCCACACTCTCCTCTGCCTTATCTGTCTGAGGGTCTTATCCACTGCTGGCTCTGTTAGTGTAACCCCTCTCCCTCCCTTCCAGCACGGCCGCTCTCCTTCCACCTCATCCCTCCATCTCCATGTCCCCCCCTCCTCCCCTCCGCTCCCGTCCAACCAGCCCTCCACTGCTTGCCGTGGACCCCCGTTATCAGGCCAGGCCTGACGTCAGGGGGGGCCGGAGACAGAGGCTGATAGCGTGGCAGAGGCTGCCTCCGCAAAGGCTGTGGGAACCAGCGGCCCAGCCCAGTTCGACCCAGTGGCCCTGCACGTCCACCACCAGAACAGACGGAGGCAAGCAATAACAGCGAATCCATGACAGCGCACACTCCATGTCAATTTATGGCTTTGTTGTTGATTTTTTTGACTGTCGCACTAAAATAGAAAACTAAAATATCAATCGCTTCTGCGCCTCTCTACAGCTGCAGTTCGTGTTTTGCATTTCCGAAAACGCTGCAGAAATAACACAAAACAGAAACTTTCATCAAAAGTCAGAGTTTAATATTAAATACAGCAAATGTATTCATCAGCATTTTCCTTAAAGTAGCCATCTACGTTTGTTATCTTCTACTATTTTTGTCACAATAATCTACTTTCAGTAATAGCTACAAGTTTAAGAACTTTAATGAATTAGAAAAAAAAAATAACTGTGAAACTTTGTGTCATTTTGATAAAACCAGAGAATCAATTCTTCATTCATTTAAGGTGAAACTGTTTTTTTTTTATCACTTTATCATTTGTCATATTTATTGGCATCCATTGTGAAGATGCTTAAAAACTCTTATAACTATGTCATCATTTATTGCAGAGGCATAAGATGTTTTTTATTGCTTTTTTGTTTGGTTTTTTTACAAAAAGAATGCAGGAACAAATATTGGTACTCTTTTAATACAATCTCTCTTTTCGTGCATGTAGAATAACATTTAGTCTTCTTTTATACCGCTCTCTTGAGCTTGGAGCCCAATCGCTCTGGTTCGAATGGGAAAAAGTAAATTTTGTGTCTGGTGAACCATATCTGTGCTGATTTGCTCCGAGGCTTTTGGATCAAATTCCCAATCGCGATGACTTTCACCCTAACAAGGTTCCCAAACCCACTGGGAAAGAACCAGGCCCAAAGCATCACAGATCCTGTGATACTTAGCAGTGGTCATGATTTTTCACATGTTCACACTTTTCTTAAGGTCAGACCCACCTCAGTTTTAGTCTTACCTGTCCAAAGCACACAGTTCCTGTTAAAGTCAAAGAAGAGTTTACCAAACTGCTTCCAAACAACAGGTTGAGAACATAACATTTTTGTCACCTTTTTTTTTATTTACTATATCAACAAGATAAATAAAGGTTAAATAAAAAACAATAAAATAAAATATGTTTTTTTTTACATGCTTTGTTTGCTTACATTTATGTTTTTATTGTTTTGTTTTGTTTTTGCTAATTTTAACTGCAAATAACCCAACAAAAGTGTTTGTGCTGGTCGAAAAAAACCCAACACATTTGCACCGCATGGAATAAAAACAAGAAACACATTTCCCCAGACTGTTGTAAGGTTGCTCTTAACTCCAAATAGTTGACTTGGTATTGTCTTGGCAGAAAAGCTTGAGAGAAACAAAGCCAGAGAACATTTGAGTTTGTTGGTGCAGGTCAACAGGTGCAAGTTGTGAAGTGTGGGGAGTGAATGCAACATGGATGGCTGCAACAGATGAAGTTTCACATCATTAAGTGCAGGTGCTGTACTCCCAAAACACACTCATGTGCACACACGCAAAACACACACACGCGCGCGCGCGCACACACACGCAAAGATATCTCATGTCATCTAAACCTTGTTAATTTTCATACTTCGACATCAAAAATCCCAAGGAAGACACTTAATGCGCCTTTGTTCCTCTGTCTAATTCTGGTCTGGCTCATTTACACTCAAGGGGAGCGAGGTGAACCATCAATCTGTCCTTTGCTCAAGCATATATTTCCACTTTTCCTAAGTGTGTCGCAGATGTTTTCGGTGATGGATTTGTCGGATGGGGAGTGGAGACGTGCTTATCAGTGTGTTGTCCTCGATAAGCGAAGGAGATTTGTAACCGTTGTAGTTGGTCAGTCTTGGGTTTGTGCGTGTTTGTGTCTTGCGTTGACCTCTTCCCCGTCGAGCTAGTAGGAGGAAGAAGCAAGCGGCCTTGACAGAGAGCTAGGAGGGGTGAGATCTTAAATAAGAATCTGTGAAAGAAGGAAGCCGTTGTTTCTGAGCTCCTTATTACTTCCAGTCTTGCTCTCATTTCTCTCAGACACACACTCCTTACACCAGACGTCCTGTTATACTTTCAGTGTATTGTGTTTTGTTTGGTTGGGATATGACAAGCCAATACAAAGTATGTGTGCAGCTTAAGGTCTTAGCTTTTGCTTGGTTTGCTTGCAGTTACAAAACTGAAAAGTTTGACATTCAGTCTGTTATTTTTGCTTATTCTGTTCTGCAAAATAGCCAGTCAAATTGGATGGAAAGCATCTGAACAGCAATTTTCAGGTTTTGTTACATAATCTCAATTGGATTCAGGTCTGTTCTTTGACTTGGTTGTTCTAACAAATGAATATGCTTTGATTAAAATCATTTCTTTGTAGCTCTTTTGTACCTCTGCCAGTATGTGGTCGTCCTGCAGGAAAGCAAACCTCCACCCAAGTCTCAAGTATTTTTCGGCCTCTTACAGGTTTTCTTCCACAACAATTCTCAATTTTGCATTATTTGTATGTTGATTAATCCCATAATACTTCTCTTAAATATATTAAAGTGCTTAGTTGTCACGTTCAAAGAGTATCGATACAATTACAAAGAAGCGTATGTGTGGCTATTAAACAAATATCACAATGTGGTTAAAGGTGAGTGACTGAGCAAAAACGTTTTGACCTACTCTGCACCCTGGCTGCTGAACACCTACTCATCAGTTAGAAATTATAGGAACAGGTGTACTAAAATATCTATATTTTAGGGTTTTGTCTCAATACCAAGATGCATTTTCATAAGGCGACTCGATTCAGGCTTTAGAGGAACTAAATGTTATTTTCTTCATGCTCAGGCAGGTTCAGAGAGTGTGATGTGCAACTCACAGATCTATTCTTGACCGAGCCAGGTAGGTGTGTGACACAGATGTGAGACGATACACAGGGCCCACTCTGGGCAGGCAACGAGGCTTGTTGGTATTTTACTGCTTCACTCTGAGATGGAACAATAATTTGTCTGAAAGATGTTGAGTCTCAAACAGTCAATCGACGCCAAGGAAAATGTACTTCGCTCCTGCATTGGCTGCTTTGCAAATGCCAGTACCGTGTCAAATATTGGTATTTCCTACTTCCCAAGCAGCATTTCCTTTTAAATATTAAAAAATGCTGTACAAAAAAAAAAAAAAAAAAATTAAAATTATAAAGTGAATTTTTTTGTGATTAACTTGAAGTTATGGTCCACGAATCAGGGAATCCAATTTAGAGACCAATTGACCTAACATGCAAATTTGTGAATTGTTAAATCTTATTTAACCAGACTTAACAAATCTGGTTAAATAAATGAATGCATGGATGAAAATGTAGGTGTTTGCATGAGAAGTCTGTGACCGACAGATCTCCTCGGCGCTCAGACATCATGCCTGTTCCGTTATGCTGCTCCTCGACTAGTTCAGCCGAAATGAAAATTGTTGAGATAGCAGAAGAAAGCAGAGCATTAGCAAGAAATGTTACGGATTTAATGACTGGAGGAAATTCTGCTGTGTATACTGAGAAAAAAAAGTTTGTATATTTCCAACTCTTTTTCTTTTTTTTTCCACGCTGAGTGACTCAAGTCTCCTCATCTCTGCCCTCTGGCTGACATTATAGGAGATGGGCTCATTAGGCGTTTTAATTGGTCCAGAGCAGCTGCTGTATGTGAACTGGTTTGTGGGCTGGCTACCTGCCAAACTTAAATAAGGTAACCTTGCGGAAAAGCTACGCAGACTGAGCAACAGATCAAACAGGTCAAAGAAAAGTTTAAACACGATGAGAAAATCCTGTATTCTGAGCTTTGAATGCCTTTTTCAGAGTTTTATCCAACTACTGTGTATTTCTTTTTGCGAGAGTATTTTCGTGGACCTTTCTATCTAAAAACCACAAGTTTTTAAATATACCTACTCCCTCCACCCGATAGCTTGTTGGTCTTTGTAATAAAAAAAAAAACTGTCTCCTTTGACTAAATCATTTGTTCAAAAGACTTTTTATCATTAAATAAGCAGCACTGTGGTTCAGTTTTTCAAATGTGAATGACATACGTTAAGATTAATCACGCTGAAGTTGCTTCTCTTGCTGAAATTTAGAAATTTAAGAGCACCTTGTCGAATCCACATTTAACTCGTTTCCTCTTGTGTGCGTGTATGTATGAAACCCGCTGTGTGTGTGTGTGTGTGTGTGTGTGAGTGTGTGCTGTGGGGTCTGTAGCTTGTGGAGAATCCATCAAAGCTTATCATTATAAGTAAACATGACAGAGTGGACAAAATGTCTTCTGCACCGCCAGACCTGCTATCTGACCACGAGCCATATCTGCGATGATGGACTGATGTGGCGCTGGCCTGGACTAACCAGAGTCTGAGAGTTTAGAGTGGGAGGCAACACGCGCTCGTACACACACACGCACTCCAGGACACTTGAAAACACACTTCAAAAGGCGCAGACATGCAACAAAAGTCAGGAGCCCTTCTATTACCTTATATCTTCAACATCTTAAAGGAATATTGCTGTTTCAGTGGATGAAAAGTTGATTCACTGCTCAGTCGTAAATGGACAGACACTGAAATAATACATTTGGAGTTTATTGCTGTTATTTATTGGCAAATGTTTATTAAGGTTCAGGGTTTATGTATTTTTCAAACACAGAGAGGATTTTATTCCCTAAAAAGTAATCATTACTGTACATGACAAGCCTCTTTTTTATGACAGGTGAGATCAGAGGAGAGTTAAGTAGCCCCGATGGAGATTTACTAGTAGCATTACTCTTCATCTTCTGCGCTCGTGGTTTCTTTATACACTGTGTCTGAAGGAAGATTATCAAAAAAAAAACCTAAAGGGGATTTTGAAAAGTATATGGATTCAGTATGTTTTTAGACAGATTTTCCGTCCGTCCGATGTCAGGCATCTCGCATGTGTGTGAAGTGTTGAGGTCAGCCTGCATGTTCCTTTACTTGTTACAACACCACTGATAAGAAAGGTAAACAACCCTGCACTGTTTGCTCCCCTGCAGCAGTCACATGATCAAGAAACTCTGATGATAGCCTCTATGTGAGCTTGAAAAGGTACGATTTTGCAGACGCAGTCTAATCCGTGTTCTGGGCGGTGGGTGCGGGGGGGGGGGGCACAGAGGGGGCCCTGTATGTCTATTTGAACTAAAACTCCAGTATTGATAACCTCTTTCCATGCTCGCTTTAATTTCTGGGTCAAAAGTCGTGGCTGCAGTACCTCAGCTGACATGTCAGATTGACAGTAGGTGTAGTGGCACTGGATGGTATACAGCACGGGGACGTCTGATGCCATGTCGTTGTTCTGCCTGTAATCAAGGAGCATGTGTGTTCAGGAGGTCATTAAACTCACTGTGACAAAGAAGGTGGTCCTTAAGGTGATTTGGACAATCCCAGACCACCAAGGTAGAGTTGATTTTCTCTTTTGCATCTAGATTGTTAAACCTTAAAACATTGTTACAAAATTTAGGAAATGTATTTTATTTCTAACTCTACAGGCCTCTGACTTGTTTTACGAATCATTACAAAGGGAAAAGAACTAATTGGACATAATGGAGTTAAGTTTTTTTTTTTTTGTTTCGTTTACCTGCCATTAATGTCAGCGTAATTAAGGATTTGCGATGTGACGGTGTTGACGATAGCTCACGACTCACAAAGCGCTTCCTCTCCATCGCTGCTCTTGCTCAGACCGATGTGACTTTTCTCCTTTTCCTTTTCGCCTCATACGCCACTTTCAGTAATATTTCCCTTCTTTTTCTTAAGTTTCATAGATTCATGTTTAATCACCTCCATATGTTCAAGCTTCAGGAGCATTCTCCCACTTTTTTCCTCCTTTGATTACACTTATGAATTAAAATATTTTTTTTGGAAGGGAAATCAGAGTGGAAATTAGCATACTTGAAGGTCTGTTGAACCTGACTTAAGCGTTGAATGTTCTGAGTCCAAAACATTGCTCCATGTTTTACTTTAAGGTGAATGCCAAATTATCATCAGTAACTAATAATTAGTATGTTATAATATCAGTTTTTATAGTGTGAAAGTCCAATTTCTGAACGTAACTAAATAATTTCATTCTGATTTTTTTTTTTTATTAAATTAAATTAGATTAACGCTTATAAGCATACCTAAATGACGCACATGCTGACCTTTTCTTGCAACAGCAAAATCACACAGTGAAAAGTCAATTTTTAATTATAGTGTATTTATTCACTACAGAAACAATCACAAATGTATATTTTACCCAAGCATCCTCTTCTAAAGTTTTGTACACCTCTCTCTTCTTAGTCATCGGCTACAACATTTCGTAAAGTTGGAGCAAACACAGAAAAGTCTCTTTGTCTGTTCCTTTTTTTTTGTTTTGTTCAATGTCTCTGTGTCATTTACTGGGCCTGCCTTATGTACTCCTCTCTTCAGGTTATCCTGAAGGTCTTCTACAGGATTTAGGTCTGGGGAGTCAGAATGCCATGGAAAAGGTTCATTTTGTGTCTGGTATGCTTTTTCTGTGTTCGTTTGACCTTTCGTTTTGGACGTTGAGCGATGTAGTAACGGCTCATTTTCAGTTCACTTGCAGAAGCCACCGATTTTTTGTTTTTGTTTAAAATGTCCAGTTATTTGGGAGGGTTTATGAAAACATGCATTTCAACAAGGTTTTCATAGACATCACAAATTCTTCACATTAGGTTTTATTTTATTTAAAAACACACACACACATACACACACAAAGACATTTTTTTCCATTTAATAAACACAATTCAGAAGGGTTGGATTTTTCCATGTGGAATTATGCAACTGAAAAACCTCAGTTTATTCCTCTGCATGACTTTTCAGAGATCTTTACCAGAGCCCGTAACAAATGTGGAAAGTTACTGTATTGTGTTTTCTTGTTTTAAGATCTTACTTTAATTGTTTTTCTTTGGCTTTACATTATCTGCTAACCTTAGGGCTAAATAATACATTCAAAGTCTAAATAAACCAAGTTACTATTATTCCCTGCTAATCTTATAAACAATGGCAGGACAAATAAAGACGCTCAGAAAGTAGGCTGTAATTTTGAATAAACCATGGCGATGCAAACATAAATAGATTAGCAGGAAGAAAATTGTGATTACAATAAAATCTCTATAACACAAACATGGACATCTCATTTTGAACTTCTGCTATCTCAGATTCTTCAGTGCTGTGCTTATTTATGTTGAAGCTGTGTTGTAAGTGGGACGGTCAGTTCTCTGTTGTTTATCTTCATGATTAGCTCTGTTTTCAAGATTTCTTGCCCTAATTGGTTTATGACCCAACCCCTCTATCAACATCAATCATCTGAGACTCTCTGAGACTCTGAGACAAAACACACGATTTTTTTCGCCCCCATAATACAGCAGCACTTATTTAACATGTTTTGGCTTATTATAAATGAATTATGACCCCATAGTCTCTATCAATTATCATTTGTGTGACATCTCCTTTTTCAGTGTTTAGGTCTTTCTCCTTCTTGTTGCCACTGTGTACTTGACGTTATCAGTGGCTGTAGTCTAAGCTGGAGCTTTTGACGTCTGCGCAAAATGATTTTAAATCAATCCAAGGACCGAGCTGGGTCAGACTTCTGTGTCAGTTTAAGCAGATAGAGACAAGATATCATCTTTAGTTGCACTGACTTACCAAAACAAAGCCTTTAGTCTACACTCTTGGGAGAATGTCTAAAACATGGGACCAGACAAGAGCAAAATTATGACAGTTTTATTGAGAAATTGCTGAAAAAGGCATACACTGATCAGAGAACGTGTTGAAATTGAATCTGTGAAGCTGGTGCAACTGTTTGAGTACATTTTACTTTACCTGGGTAGATTTTAATCAGTATTTTTGAGTATTAAGTATGGCTAAAAGACTCTTACAGAAAGATGCATTTCACCAGTAACCTACTAAGTTAGTTAAATTCTATCTACTCAAAACAATCATGTTGATCGGGTTTGTCCATGTTAAAACAAAAACAAGACGTATTTTTTTTTCCTATCAACATTGATTAAGAAGATAATTAACAAGGTTATGTAGATCATCATGCAAGGTATGACTCTAGCATTAGCACTGAGGAGATGGCACTGAGGAGATGCTAGCTAGATAAATCTTTAGATTGTTGCAGGAACTTGCTAAGTTTTTGGTGTGAAAGGTATTTGCTTCCAGTACTTGCCGTTCTGAGTCCCCGTCACTTTTTTTTTTCTCAATCATTACAATGTTTACAACTGTTTAATCTCCAGTCAACATGCTGTAGTGTATTTTTCCGAGGCGCCTTTGAACTCAGCATAAGCGTTCACACGCTAACGTCCTTTTTAAACCTGTGGGTCAGCGAGGGGAGACATGTTGCTGAGCATGTGTGCTAGAATTATGGCCGCAACCAATTTGCATATTTGTATTTTTCAAACAAACCAAGTAGGCTAATTTGAGTAATGTTGTGGGATGCAAATAATGTTTATTTATGACTACTTAATCCACGCCAATATATCACCTCAATCGTCTTAGTAGGAATGCTAATGCTGTTACTTGTGTTACATCCCTTTCTAGAAAAACAAAATACTAGGAATAAACAGAATCATCCTTCATTTCTGCACAGAAATCGTGTTTGCTATTTCTTATCACATTTTTATGGGGTTTTTTTATTATATTTTTTTATTATAATCAAAAGAGCAAAATCAGGGAGGAGACATGAGACCAGAGGCCAGAAGCAGGGATGATGATGCATCGTCTTATCAGGTAAGGAGTGATTATAACTTGCTTTGAAAAATATGTCTATTGCGAGGAGAAATCAGTCACACGGTCTGATTATTTTCATTCAAATAAATAGACTTTAAAGACTGTAAACATTAGTTTCTTAGATTTCTGCAACATAAGCGCTAAAGTTTGTGCTAATCAGAGCATAATTTTTTTGTGTATTCTGTTGACCCGTGCACTTGCATTTCACTGTTTATACCAATGATATTTTGTATTAATAAACAACTTGGTTGTTTCATTCAAAACGTTACATAAACGTATGTATTTATATTAGGCAAAAAGCATCCCTGTCTAAATTCCTCTGCAGCTGGGTCTGGTCCAACATGTTTTAAGATCAGACAAAGAAAAGCTGGGTGGATACAAAAAGGCAGTTTTCAAATAATTAAAAGGGAAAAGAACTATCTAAATCTAAATCGCTCTGATGGCATCACTGTGGAGGAATCTTGGCCCACTTTTCTTTGCTGAATAGTTTGAATTGGACATTTTTGACCATGAGAATTAAGCAAAATCAAAGCTTTTACCACAGCAATT